TTCCAGGAACTTATGGGGCATAAGGTTATAAAAAGGCCCGTTTTAAAGTTTCTCCCGATGTTTCTTTATAATTATACTAGTCTATTTCAGTGGTGGCGCCAGGGAAGGGCTAGGGGGGCTACAGCCCCTCCGTCGGAAGCATCTAGCCCCCCCCCCCCATCGGAGGAAATTTTAGGTTATTTTCGGAGCAAATTTGACAAAATAACGTACGAAAACTGCTTATTTTAGTCATTTTAGCCCCCCTGTCGGAAGCTCCAACCCCTCTGTTGGAAGATTTCTGGCACCACCTCTGGTCTATTTATCTAAGTATCTTCATCGTTGAACTTAGATCACACAACCTTAAAAAGAATCGTTAAATAACTCTTAATATGCATGATATGTTAAACATGATACGAAATTGCTGAAGTATGGCCACATTTGCACAGGTTTTTTCCCAATCAAATCACAAAAACTAAATAACAGTAATCTGTTAGGAAACAACAAAATATTAATTGGCCTTCTTTCTCCCAATTTTCAACACATTTAATGAGTTTGCATTTTCAGAAGTATTTTCTGGTGCTCTTACAGAATATGCGATCAAAAGTCAAAAGTTTGAAAATATATTTTGTGACATCACTCTTAAGAACTCCTCTTTCTCTTTTGTTTAGAGAACTGACTTGGTTTTCATATGAAACATGTTGTTACCCATCAGAATATATTGAATCTAGACAGGTTGACAAACTTTTGTGGTAGTTACCATCATTGTCTTTGATGCCTTAATAGTATATTTTCCCAATGGCTATTTTTTTAAACCAGCAAGGCATTCATTCTACTGCGAAGGAGACTGCGATGCGGTCCCGTCATACAGTAGAAACCCGCATAAAAGAACCAGGTTTTTTCTGGCAGCCTGAATAGGTTCTCAATTGACAGGCTGCTATTCTAAATTCCAGTCTAAAAGGTTCTTAACAAGGTTCTTATATACGTAAAGACCATGCACACATTAACAATGTTTTCTACCGCAAGAATTCTAATGGAGACATTTAAACCAGCTTGGTTTTGCACGTTAAATTTCAACCAATCAAATGAATTTGTGTTGTTAGGTTGTCCAATTAGAATGCAACATAGCTACCATAACCTGATTTACTCTAAGCTGGTTTAGTTTGCCAGTGTGAGTAGGGTGTAAAATACAATTCTAAAAACCCTTTTTTATATATAAGAACCTTTCCAAATTTCAGTCTCTTAGGGGTTCTTAATTATGGGGTTGAAAAGATTAAATATAAGCCTCAAGGTTCTTATAGAAACAGGTTCTTTTATGCGGGTTTCTACTGTAAACGTACACTATGTCACTGTTGGATTGATACACGATCTATCTAAAACGCAGCAAACTTATTTCTTCAATTTTGCAAATGTGGAATCAATGCCTATAAGTTTTTCAAAAAGAAAACGCTGTCCTAGTCCTTGATTCATGAATAAAATGTTTTGCACTATCTTAAGAATCCTAAAATGACTTTTTCAACAGTTTTCAAGAGTTTTCCTTAGTTCGAGATCACAGAAGAATTTTCTTAGAGGGCGGGGGGCAGTTTTGTGAATCCCTCCTGGGCCCTAGCTGGCTTTCGACGCCCCTGATTCCAGTCGATACGAAATTTCAACCGTCTCGGAAAATTCTACATGCAGTATTGTTTTTTATACTTAAATTTCTTCTGACTTTGCTTTTTTTAGAATTTGCACTTGTTTTCTTTATACTTTTGTGCAAAAATAAAAATATCTAATGCAGGGGAATTTTTTACCAATGATAGTTTCGGACGCCTATGCCCTTGAGGCTTATTGTTCTCACAAATGAGGCGTATTAATTAAGTCAAGACCCTCTCCTCCAATCCTATAGTCTTTACATGCTAGATTGGGCGGCTTCCCTTCTCCATTCGAGTGAAATCAATCGATTGTAGTTCAATTTGGCTGCTGGCTGCTGACAATAACGACCTACTCTCTGGAGGTTCTACCTCAATATGCGGTAAGCTCTTGTTGCTCTAGTAACATTGTTCCGAAGATTTCACCGAGACAGACTTCTCACACTATTTTGTAGGTCTTTCTACCATAACTTTATTGTATTTTTACATGGCGCTCGAAGAGATATCCCCTTTTTGTATTGATTTTAGAATATCTCTGGCACCTTACCACTGACCTCAAAAAAGACTGAATTGAGCTTCTCCAGCCCAGTGTTGATTCCACATTGCAGCATCCATCTTGAGACCTCGCCCTGTTGTATGAGACTATTGTGCAATCATATTGGTTTTAGTTCAACTTGCTTTTTCATAGCCAAATTCAAAGTAACTGTTAAAACAAAAACTTGCAGCATTTGTAAGTGGCATTAAACATTTTGTTGCGGTATTAGTCTTAGGTAACGGAGAAACCACTGTTCTCTTCTTTCCTAGGCCTGTTGTCTCTAAGAATATTTAAGAATTTGATGATTAATGCACAATTTAAGGCGCGAAACTGTGTGTGCTACATTTTAACAAGTGGCAGCCCAAAGCTTTAGGCGCGAGAGTTCCACGAAGGAAAGATTCGATCGCTTCCTCGTGCTGATGTTGGAGAACAATAGGTTGTTCGATCCAGTCTTTTTTTGAGGTCAGTGTACTTTACGACGTTTTCTTCATTATTGTATAACAGGCTAGGAATACCAAGAAATGATTGAAATACCTCTAGAAATTAAATTATAATTTGAGGAGTGCACATTCTTTGAACCCCCCGCGGATCATTCTGCTGCTATAATTTATCCATTTGCTCGTACCTTTGCTCGTCTGCACACAGGCGACACTTTTTGTCGTGTCTTATCCTATGTTGTTTTTGGGTAGAGGGGTAAGGATATGGCTCTTTTCTACCAAAAGCGCATAATTTTCTTCAGCAGCAGGACGTTTCAAGGATTTTTGGAGATTTTTGCGAGAGATTGTCGTTTATGTGCTTTATAGACGCTTATTAGATCGATTTTGACATCGTTCATTCTGAATCCACGATTCAAGTCCCTATCTAGACGGAATCTCAAATAAAAATCAGTTTGATTTAAACTAACACCAACTTGCCAACCAATGTTTTGAACCCTAACTTACCAAATATAACGTGTGTTCTAATTCAATATACGCTCCTAAACTAGCCAACGCAGTTTCGCAAACTATTGGGTTTGGTATGCGACTGCTCACCCCTAGTATAATACATAGTGTTTTGGAAGAATACCTCACGTTTTTTTCATTCTGAGTCTGAAATTATTCCTAAATCATTTAGCGACACATTTTTATGAATCAAGCAGGATAGTTCCTATCTTTGCTGCTGTCATTCTTCGTCATGAATAGGTTAGGTTGTAGGAAATGCCACAGACTAGCACAAAACAAGCTTTAGGAATATGCCTTACACATTTTTGCGTAAAAGACACATTTATTTTGTTCATGGGCGTAGCGGAGACTAAAAGTTTAGAGGTGGGGAACTTAGTATGGGTCTTGCCGGAAAATTGTTGCTTTATTGATATTAAGTTGCCCAACTAGGCCTGAAATTCGACAAATTATGTCTGATAGAGGGGGAGAGGCTGCAGTCCCCCAGCCGCTATGTGTCCCATGTCTATGATCTTTTTTGTTCAAATAACTCACTGCTCAGTCAGTCAGAATGATGATGAAGTTCAAGCCAGGCAATTTATAAATTTCACCAGTTTCGAGCTTGAATATTTTTTATAAAAATTTATTCTTAAAGAAGTATGTAAGGGTCAGAAAAAATATCCCTGATACTGACCTCTGTCAAGATTGTCTTTTTTCCTTTGAAATACAAAGATATAGCCACTTAAATAAGTAACTTGGACAATTCAGTATGTTTTGTCTGCCACTCGCAATACTCACCTGCTATTATCAACCTCTAGTGTATTAAAAATTTTTATTATCCAGTTAAGATAGCAACGTTTGATGGCGACCTCAACTCTCCTTTGATAGCCAGGAAAGTCTACCAACAACCTATATTCCAATAAGAGCATTCCTACAATTAGAGTACAGGGCCCAAGCCACGAATTTGAAAGTGAGAGGCAGGGCCTCCAAAGAAGGGGGGGCCACTTTTTTGCAAAACAATAGTTTTTTCAAAATCTTTTGTTATGGGTGTTAAATTTTGCCTTGCCCCCCCTCCCCCCCCCACTTTTCAACCTTTGTCGGAGCCCATGAGAGGGCCAAGACTAGCAAAGGTAGGAGGCCAAGGGTTTTACCTCTTTTACTGCAGCTTTAAAACTACTTCCTTCGCAAAATAGTGGGGAACCATGGCCCCTCCGGCCCCTCTCCCGATAGCGTGGGCCCGGGAGTAGTTTTAATTAATTGGATTATTACTCTTAGTTTAGTAGCAATATATTTTTGTGCTTCAACTGTTGATTTATCTGATACATTCTGACTAAAGATAAGACCGTTGAATACGAACACTAAAATGTCTGGCAAGCCAATTTCGTATTTGCATCCGATGCTAAATTGCCTTTCAGCACTACAGATGGTATAATTACCCATATTTATTTTGATTAATTTGAGATCTTGTCTTAATAATGTCCTTATGAATTTTATAAAGAAAGGAAATGCCGCAAAATTTGATAAAAAATGTTTGTACTTGGAAAAAATAGTTTGAATTAACATTTTTGGTTGCTTAACGTAAAGGTAATTGCTGTAGAGATTAATTTTAGATGTAATTAAACGAGGGTTATGTAGAGGTAATTAGACGAGGGTTAATTTTTTATAAGGTCGAATCGTTAGGAAGAATTTCATCTTACTATAGGCAACTCCTTCAGAAGCATGACATTTTTTAGCTCATTCAGACGTGACGTAAGTGAATTATATCGTGAGGAGCGAACACAAATGAAAACTCTTTTATAAACAACACAAAAGAACTATTATCAGCAGTATAAAGCATCCCCAGATTGAATAAAATAACATAGTGTTATTCAGAAAGACATTGGCAAGGTGAAGTTCGCTTCTTGAGCCCACTAGAAGACATTGCATTTAACCTTTTTCTTTTAGGAACACTGACAGCACAAAATATCAGTAAAAGACATCTTTGATCGTGGTTGCCAGCACTTGCTCTTGCTGCATGCAAATGAAATGGTTGATTTGCATTACCTCGAAAAACGTCTGCTAAGCAGCTAGTGGCCGCGGTTTCAAAAATGATTCTTATGTGCTCCGTTCTGCTGGCAGATGTCGACTTTGTTCCCTGCTGAGACACCTAAAAAGGTCATCCAGCCTCGCATAAAATACTCGAAACGTTAGCTGTCGATTGTATTCGGTGTCAGTGCAACCTGTGCGTTTGACTGTATCAGGAAACGGGGCGCAGATTAGAGAAGAGGTCAAAACAGAAGGTTGCTTCTTTCAAGACGATTAAACTCTACTACCAAAGAACGTTGCTGCTAGGTTGATACAAAACTATGTTAAAAACAATAACTGTATTCTGGTGAATATACTTGATTTCAACTACTACCTGGCACATTCAGATTTTTCACACATAAGGCTTTATGATGACCGATATTTGCAGTGGCTGCTCACTGCCAATACTGGACCAATACCTTTCAAAGGTACTTGACAGAACTTGGCACGTAAACTGCGTGAAGTGTTTCGAATGTCAGAAAACAATGGCTGATAAATGCTTTTCCAAGAACGAGCAAATTTATTGCAAGGATGATTTTGACCGGTAAGTACACCATTAGCATGCGTTTGCACATTTTCACTTGTAACTTGACAAAAGCTTTGGTATATCATGTGTCAATAAAAATTGATTTGGCAGTCATTTGTTTACATAAGCTGAAGAAACATGCATTACTAGAAAATTTCTCGTGTGTCAAGAATCATTTCTGCAATTTAATGACCTATTTTCTTATGCAAACGTTTTACTTACTAGCAAAGATTTTTCTGTGTGTTCTACCTAAACTATTATGTGCTTTAAAAAATCTTCAATCTACAATTAATATGGTTACTCATTTTGAATATTTCTACGTACAGCAAGCAATCAAAAGCATGTTACACTAGCCGGGAAAACTACGCTTATCAAGTCTTTGAAATCGCTAATATCTATCATTAACAGATTACGTTCTCGCGATCAAATGTTCTTTTGAGGTATTTTTGCCAAAATTGAGACACTGTGCTTCTTTATATAATTCATTATAGTAAATTGAGACACTGTGCATTAACATAAATTTAAAGAAATAATTACAAGGGCCAATACACCAGCAGTGAGATACAGGGTAAATTATTGATTGGTTTTGAATAATATAATGTTTGTTAATCTTATCAAATATCACATATAGAGAGTGTGCATTCTTTTATGCTTAGAAAATATACTTATAAGTCTTATGCTTATAAGTCTTTATTTTAAATCTACATATAATTAGTCTACAGGAAATCTAGTAATTGGTCCATTGTAAATTTTTATTTGCACATGCATTTATTCTAATTGATCTCTGATTTTAGGAAATGTAATAAGATAAACAAAACATTAAAACAGATATAATATATGAAGTACTTTAAATGAACTAAGGTTTTTATTTGAAATTTCTTGGCTAATTTACTTAAAACTCCTTCGGGAATAAATCATCAGATCACACTTAAGTTAAACACCAATTGGCTAGCAAGCAATTCTACTACCAAGAAATGGAGATTATCAGCCCCAGAATCATCTCTACGAAATACGAATTTGCTGCTACCAGCAAATACAAATCTTCTTACTAGAAAATGTTCTTCAAAGACTAATTTTAATGATCTGTACATTGTTTGAACAGAAGGTTCCAGTAATCGTTCTTAAATCAAAGAAATTGCTGATAAATCGAAGCTATTAACACATCTTTGACGTTTAAAACTCTGATATCTAGAAATCTTTGTCATGTATGATTATCTCTTGATAAAATCATTGTTTGTTAATGACTTTCGTAAACATTACTTAGGTCACCATGCCTTATCTTTGCTAGCATTAGCACCATTTTTCATTTAAAAATTGCTAAATATTGTTTAAAACCTTATATATATACCAATGCTCGAATCACAATGGAGAAGAAGCCCGATTTCAAACGTAACACTGTATTTCTCATACGTAAGTTCTCTTGCATTATGTCAATTGGACATCGCAGGTGATCAGGCTTTCAAAATCTTTTCAATACATCAAGCTGACTTGAGAAGTACTGCTGGTTTTCTTTTCAATGCATTTATGAACATACAATCCGCAGGTGGTGGGCTGTCAGTACTTTTCATCCTTTTAGAACATTGTGTGCAATAACAAGATATATTTTTTGACAGCTTGAGTCTAGTCCAAAGAGAAAAGTATTTTGCTAAGTTTTAGTAGCTACCTTGCTGCTAGTCTTTTTGAAGTTTGCACGAGGCCAGTGGCAGCTGTTCCGCGTTTTTCTCTTTGATTTTGCTTGGGAATCATTGCACCTTTCCAATTCTTCAGACTTTCTCTCCATTCTCTGCATCACAATAAATCTACAAAAACTGCTGTTTCATTCTAAGGAGTACTAGAATATTTCTTGAAAACTTCTTGGGTTTTCATGGCAAGTTTGAACTTTTCATTGATATCTTCAAAATCATATATCATATCATTTTGTTCATATCTACAATGCCTTCAAATTGCCTCTCGTTTCCGTTTGAATTCGGTTTGCCTAGCTATCAATGTAAGAAGAATTGCTCACTACTTGCTTTTTATCGTAAATACACTAGACACTTAACTCTTACGAAACAGTGCTATACAGCTCAGTGCAGTACAAATAATTTCTTACCCATTGAATTTTCGTAACCTTCAACCACCCAAAAATATGTAACAATTTACGCCCTTGCATTAAGATGAAACAATCAAATCGATATTATTGTTATATCGCACTTTCTCAAGCGTCTATTTTGCAATTTTGATTTTTTGTGAGTTGTTTCTCAACGCTCCTGTCTCGCTCTCTTTTTTGTTATACCTAGGGTCACACTATCCCATTCAAAGGTCTTTATATCTCTAACATAATAGCAAAAAGGTCTTCATTATTGCCTATATCATCAAAAGTACCTGTACAATTAAAACCCTTTTGCTGTAAAGATGGGCTTCAATTACTTTTATTTTTATAAAAAGACACCAATGAAGATAGCAGCACAGTATAAATATTTTTGCGTCATAACTGCTATTTTTGTGCATCTAAAATGACTAATTAACTTTACCGTACTGTTTATGACAGAGCCTATTCTTCTGCGGTTAGGATGAATTCAGACTTTCTGTCATCTTTTCTGTTAAGATTAACGTACGTTTGAAAAAGCGAAAGAGATCAATAACTGTCCCTTTCTAATAATAAGAAATCCTAAAAAGGTAAAAAGACATTTCATGTGTTTGTTTTCTTGGTTGCGGGAAACGCTCTGAGATGGATAGAAAAGCTTATGGTTTTAAGTGAATAATTGTTCGAGACCTGTTATTGTTTGAGACTTGATTTTTTCTTTGGCACAACTGTAGATCAATTTCATTATATCATTGGTGTTATGAGAAATATGCCCTTTATGCATTATACACGAACCTTTTGTCAATTCCACCTAAAGCCGCAGGCCCTTTTAAGCAAGGGACACATGCGATCGCACAATAGCAAGGAACAATAGCAAGGGACACATGCTGTCGCACAAAAAATTCACATGCGTTCTTCTTACGCAATGAACTTCTGTGTAGGTGCACATGTATGGAACTTTAAAAAAACTAGTGCAGCGGTTTCTGTTCACCAAAGTGTAATTCTTTTTTTGAATAAAGTTTAGTTGCTTTGTCAAATCAATATCATTTAGTTTTTTAATACATTTTGGCATACAAGTGGATCTTTTATAATTGGATTTTTATCTTATCTTATAAAAATAAATAATGTGCAGTTTTATTCTATTTTGCATATTAGTTGATTCTTCTGTCTCTTTCGACTCTTTGAGTTTAAATATATATCGAATTTGCTAAAATGATAGCCATTCATGAAAAATAAATCAATGCTAATTCATAATCAACATCGAAAGTCAACAACATCGTGAGGATATACGATAAATATATTTCGGTGTTTGTATGACGACGAACTGGTAGGCGTAAAGTACGTAGGTAGAGATCAGCATTGCAACGCTAAGAACATATCGTGGGCGTATGCACGTGGAAACTTTGCAAAATTCACTCCTGAACGGGCGACGAATTCGTACACATGTGCGGATTCTGTAACAGAATAGTTCCAGCCCAAGGATTAGGGGCTGGAGAACTAAGGATTGTCATATCCACCTGGCTTGTACATATTGTCCTTCAGAAAAAATGTAATCATGTTCAGGTTTCTTTCTTATTAGCCTGCATACTTTTCCATGTAATCTGATCTACTTGTCCTGCTTGCTCTCAGCTTACAGGGACATTTCTACAGGTTGGGCAACCGCGGTCCTTGTTACGTCATTAGAGACGTATCCAGCAAGAAAACAAGGTCATCCAAACAAAGTCATGAAAGTAGTGTACCTTAACTTTCCAAACTAGAAAAATGAAGAGGTGTTATATATGACAGAGAAATATATAAAGATAATTTTTTTCCTGTTTTACCCATAGCCGGGCGATTTTACCGACTAATTTGTTTTCCATATAACTTCTTGAGATTTTACCAAGCTTGGCGGTATCAACACGCCCTAGCAGATGCGCCTTTGATTTAAGAAAGCAAATTAAAAGCGAGGAAGAAAAATAAAAACAACGACTCATTTAAGTATACCAATTATTGCAAAATATTTGAGTTGAGGCTTCGTCTGCTCCAGATGTCGTTTTGCAAGTCACTGTTTCCTGTTGGAAAGACGTTGGTGGTTTGGAGCTGTCCATAGACCAAAATGCTGGCAGAGGGCTTTCATAGCATGTACAAAATATAGTTGTCACATTGCAGATTTTTTAAAAGGGTCTGTTCAGAACCATGTCCAAATTTTAGCCAGAGCTGAGATTGGCCACAGAAGTGTGTCTCTGTTGAGATTGGCTAAGGAATTGTGACTTTGTTGAGATTGGTGCTATTTACCACAAATTAAAGAAAAAACATTGCCAAATCTCAGTACATAGCTAAAATACAGGTCAAGATAAGAAACATATCTTATTGCCATCATTCCATACAGTAACAGAAGGGTAAAGGGTATAAAACATCATCAAAGTTATTTGTGTATGTAACTAATGAGTAAATTCTTAGTGGCAAAATTCGCTTAAGCGATTTGGCATTTCGATGCAGAGTAACTATGTCTACTTCAAATTTTAGCATGGCAATGAATAGTAACTATGTATTCCTTTTACTTAATATTTATCTTTTGACTTGAACAAAGTTTGGTTAGAGTATTCGGTTTTGGAAAGTAACTTATCCATGTCCTTAATTGACCCTTAATACTGTTAATCTTGATTTTCAAAACGCGATTAGAGATGGTTATGATAATTAGAACAAACGAAAAACCTTGGTGGTTTGACCCTCGGGCGCCATCAAATAAAACGCTTATCGATTCAGGCTTTGAGAGTTACACAATTGGTGAAGTTTGTGTTAAAATAAACTTTGTTTTCAAAAAAGATTCTTTTGCTCAATTTGGCTGCCTAACTACGTTCCGCATGTTAACGTTTCATGCGTACGAAAGTGGTTCGTTTATGCCTGCTAAAATCACCTGGAACCCAGTAGACTTCAAATCATGCTACTTTAAAACGCTTCATAATAACCTCAAATATTCGAGACCTTAACCCAGGCATTGTACCATCTCACCCAATACAATACAATAACCTTCAGTACAAAATTAGTGTGATATCATAGACGATATCATATTGCAAAATATGACCAATGCAGTTGCCTTCATGCAGTCCCAACGAAACATAAGCGAAACGAAATCATAAACGAAAGAAACCCAATGAATTTTATAGCTTCACTTAGTGCATTACTGGATGGTCATTTTCATTTTATCGTGATACTTTTTCAGTTAATACAGAAAATAGACTTTAATTTATTGAAAAATGAAAAATAGCTAGAAATTATTAAAACAAAGAGGTTAGAAACAACAAAGCAAGTGTATCGATACTGTTCATTCCAGGGGTCGTGCTTAGGGATAACGCTGCAAATTTTATGATTTTTATAATTTTACTTCGCTTTATTTTATTCCATTCTATGCAGAAAATAAGCACCCGAATGCCACAGCTACAGTGCAACCTACTTTTCAGGAACAAGGATGACGATTAATTGTAGATTCACGTCGGCTGCGAAAAAGTGGACATTTTAAAGCACTAGAAAAATCTTGGGTCAAAGTAAGGCATAGTAAAAATGACATAGAAGCCATTTGTTAGTTCCTCTTGGTCGCTAAATGAAAGTATTTCACAAAAAATAACTATTGGTTAGTGGGAACATTTTGAATTCATTGTATATTATTTTATTCAGAATGTTCCATGTTGTATTGATTTTTCTTGCCCTTCCCTTTATTTCGAAAAATTATTATGCTGCTGAGCCACATGACGTTATGTAGATATATCTGAAATTCGGAAATATTTTTTAAAAAAGAATGTATATCTTAAAGCCGAGACTAAAGAATAATTCATATGGTCGATATGGTCGCTGTAAACGGAGAAGTTTCAGACGTAAACTGTTCTCTAGTTTCGATGTACTGTGAGAGTTTTAGAAGAGACAACTAAGATTGAATTTGCTGATTATGCTAGGTGCGTCCTGATGCCAGCCAGGCTAGCTATCTTTGTAGCGCACGTCAGCAACGATTACAAAACATAAGATCGACATTCTTATCGATCGTCATAAAATATTCACGATTTCCTAGGAGACGTTATTGTCCTTTTAAACGAATTTCGAGATGGCAACACATGTTGATTTTGTTAGAGAGAAAACTTCTTTTTTAAACAAAATCAGCTTAATGCTTAAATTGCCTTGTTCTTGACATCCAGAAATTTGCTGATTCTAAAGCCACCAAAATTGTTATCGAAACAGAGAAGAAAGATACTTGACTTTCTGGTATTGTAATCAATCTACCTGAAAACAAAACGACCCAAAGATTTTTATCAAATTGTATAAAGAGGTAGATGATAAGATATATTTTTCATGGTGGCTTCTTGATTTCTGTGTATAAAATTTACTGTAAAGACAAAATAAAGGCAAGCTTTGCAATACGTTCTTAGTTTATCTTGAAACCTTCCAAGCAGTCGGAAGATATAATTGTGTATAATACCAAACCCAGCTTGTTTGATAACACATAAATCCTTGCGAGGTTTTCGGCAATTTGTGGCTTGTTATTGGCAGGCACAAGAATACTCATAATATGGCACCACCGAAACTGGTTTGATGACGATGTTATTAGTAAAGTTATAGTCAATTCTAGTTGATACTTGCAAAAGTTTGTAAAATATGAATATATCAAATTAAAATTTATGACATAGAAAACATTTTGTACATTGGTGAACTTGAGGACAGCAAGTCATTAGATAGTTGAAGCAGAAAGAGTTATATCCTATAATATGGACCAGCTTTGTGACATCGTGGCTCATACTAATCTTAATTAGATTGAGAACCATTTCTCTCTATACTTCTACTCTGACGAGACTTGTCATGGATATAGTACATCACGCTCGTGAGTGTACACAGAAAACTAACAACATAAATTGATTGCGAGTAAATTTCTTCTCAAACAATTTTCAATCTTCTTTAGGTTATATGGCACCCGTTGCTTTGGTTGCAACACTTTGATAACTGCTACTGACCTAGTTCGGCGTATCAATGATCAAGTCTTCCACAACACGTGTTTAACTTGTTCAAGATGCCAGCGTCAGATCAACACGGGAGAGCAGCTTTTCAGAACGGAGGAAAATCAATTTGTTTGCAAAGATGACTACGATGAAACCAAGAAAAGTTCCTTTTCAGGTAAATAACTTTTAAATGCTATTTTCCATATATAAATTTTTGCATTCTAATATTTTCAGGATCAGTTCGTTGCAATTTTGAGGGCTTTTGACTGATAATCAACAATGCTAAGCGAATGTTCTCTATCTGGTTACTCCCTGATGCTACATATCAAATGTTTTGCTAACAAATGCGTTTTGTAGGAATATTCGTGCACCCAGCAATGCCAGGCTGCTTTTCAAAAGCAATGCAGGAAATTAATCCCTTCTTTGGAAATCAAAACCAGACGAATGTGATCGTAGACAAATGAAATGCACATCTAGGATGTCTACTTGGCACAACAGTAGAAAACATGTTTTTGTTACAGGCAAAAATATAATCAGGAACAAAATCAACGCCATAATCATAATTATCATCATAACCTTCATAATTATCATCATAATCGTCATAATTATTTTCATAATCATCATAATTATTATCATAAGCATTATAATTATTATCATAGTCATCACATTTATCACAGTCATCGCCCATCGTCGTTTGTAAAACCCCTGAATGTTGTCAAATAAGCATGGAGTTTTTCTTAATTGAACCCTTTAGAACACCGAAGCTGTGTGGTTGAGGCGTCTGTCGATGCATTACACTTTATTCTTAGTGGGTTTTACAGATGTTTTGCTCTGTGCACTCGCTTCACAGAGTGGTCAGCTCGTTGCCTTTGAAAATCACCGTCAGGGCATTCCATATGACACCGCTGTGATTTCGTCGGTGACCACATGCTCAACATATTGCTCTTTTATACTCTCAAATTTAACAGAAGTTTAAGAATCTTAAACGACTTCTTAATGTATAATCCCTATGTTTGGCAAAGTCCTTGCCGATTGAATATGAATATGAAGACATTTTTCTCCGCACAACCGCTTGCAGACCTTAAGCTGAATTTTGTATTGCAGTATACAATTTACCGACTCCTTGCCGAAGGGCAACAGAACGTAGCACAGAGAAAACACCGCCATCAAACCCGTATTCTTACGTAATTGATTTTCTGCGTGCATTGCTACCTAATTTGCGTTGATTGGTATTGCATTATACATTTGGAAAATGAAAATTCCGGCCATTTAACAAGCTTCGTAATACTTTTGTTTAATGTTCGGTACATGAAGGATAACCAAGCAATCCTTGCCTTTGACAAGGCAACTATCTATCTTAAGTATCCCATAGGAGTATCAAAGGAGTACATTTTTCAAAAGCAGATCTCTATATCCATGAGGCCTTGATTCAAGGCTATCTGTTAGGTTTGTTATTGATGTTAACGGTTCCTCAGCCTGCGTTGGAATTTTCAATCTCTATCGTCATTCCCCGTTTTCATTTTTACAAACTCTTTTAAAAAACTTTTTTTCAAATTGAAGTTGTTATTCATTACTTTTCACGTCTTTGGTTGCTTTCCACAACAGCGAAGTTGATCATTTTTCCATTATCAATAGAATCGTCACCAGTTTCTGATGAAAGTGAAGACAAAACAACAACTTCGAATGGAAGCGATGATGAAGATGGCGCTAACTGCAAGCGTCGAGGGCCTCGGACCACGATTAAGGCGAAGCAGTTGGAGACACTGAAGCAAGCCTTTGCAGCAACACCTAAGCCGTCAAGACACATGCGCGAGAAGCTTGCACAAGAAACAGGCCTAAATATGCGCGTTATCCAAGTCTGGTTCCAGAATCGACGTTCAAAAGAAAGACGGATGAAACAGTTGTCTGTTTTGGGAGGCCGACGGACAACTGGCCGTGGAAATAAACATGAAGCCAGGCAGGAACGAGATAGGCTAGATGTTTCGTCACCTGAAAGTATTCCAACATCGTATCAGTTGTTCCACCAAGGTAAGTCATTTTCCCTATCTTGTTTCTTCAAAAAGCAGATATTTGGTTTGCATCACATACCATTGATGAATAAAGAAAATTCTCTTTAAGCAAACATAGCTATCTTTGATTATCTTATGTAATCATCCTGCCTGCATGGTGAGTTGAAGATAGCCACCCACTAATATTGATACTTTAGGTACTTCTTAACCTACAGGCAATCAATAGCTTAAATGTCTTGATCTCTAGTTGAGTTCTAAAGTGTGACGTCATTAATTAAGAGCTCTTTATGTAACATATGCTGGATCAAGATTCTTCCACGATGTTTTGTTGCATTTAAGACAAGATCCTTCATTTGCTGTAAAATTAATTAATTAAAGTAACAGAGGGATTCGGTTGGCACACTGAGAACAAGCTAAGTTCAGATGTAGGTTTAAAAAGGCTGACCACATCCAAGAATACTTTTGAGTTGCATTTTTAGGATAAGATCCTTTCTTCAGGTAATTTTTAACACAAATTAAAATCTATACGTTTCGGGACATAAATTAAAACTAGTAATTTATCAAACCGGCCGACTCATTATGGATAAAGATTTGGAAAGTAGAGGGTATTTCTGTTCGACTCGTTTTTCTTTGCATCTTCATTTGTTTATCTTCAACCCTATTTTCAACCCTGTCTTATTTAGGGAAATTTGACGGCTCATTTTTGGATAAATTTCCTGATGGTGAAAATTGTTAAGAGCAAGAACATCCCCGACAAGCCCACCCCCCTCCACAAAACTACTGAAACTAGACTAAAGGGAGATAAAAAGCCCTTGCTTTCAAATTTTTCAACGTCGAAAGGAAGGGGCAGGAAAATTTAACTCTTGTTTGCACAGATAGATTTAAGCAGGAAAGCGCACGTGTACCTTGATGTAGAATATTTATGCTAATTTAGTTTGTTTTGGTAACATTGATTGAGCCAAAAAAGCATAAGTACTCATGCGGAATTATGTTGCATTTTGTCTTAATTCCACCATCACCAAAGCATTATAAAAAAGACAATCATTCAACTTCCACGGTACATCTCCCTCTCAATTTTAAGGCTTGTACCTACAAAGAAATAGCAACTACCCTCTCCTCATCGGCCTCGTCAATGAACATGCTGTCCGTGAAACAAATTTCTTCGTTAACGGAAGATAGGCAGTCTTCAGACAAAAGTCTGGAGTTTACAAACTCCGCATTGTTTGTGGAGTTGTCGACCCAAAACCGTTTTGAATTTACTGCATATGTAACTGCTATCGTAATCCAAAGGAGATAATAAGAATAGAGGAATATTAATAAGTGATTTATCGCCGTGTTATCTTGTAGTCTTTTGTCATATTTTGATCAGCTTTACTGCAACAAAAATCGCTTCAGATCTGTAAGTCAGCGTAAAATCCTAATTTCATCCATATCTTTCATACTGAGCTCATTAGAATAGCAAAATGTACCCCCTACCTGTGCTTCTTCTTAATCGTCGCCCATATGGGCTTTAATGAGGTTACCTTGCGCCGCCTTAATAGTTTAAACCGTCCATTAAGATGACCTCAGAAAGCACATACATCATTCTCTAGAAGATGATTCTTCGTGATAAAAAGTCTAATCATTCCTTATCTTGTGTTTTACTACAGATTTTTGCTAGACCCGAAAGCAATGTTGACAATGAACGTATATTTGGATTCCAAACTTTCTTGAAATGACACAAATGAGGGTTCATTTCTCATTGGGGATTTTAAATCCAATTAGAAAGTTTTTCAGAATCAACTTGAAACAGACTGCGCTGTGCATATCAGATGCTCTTAAAGTTAACATCAGTTTTATAATAAAAGCTTAATGTTTATGTCACCAAGTGCAGCTGTTTGGTTAAAAGAGGCATTAAACGTTTATCACAGTAAAAGGAGGCTCTCCATGGCTATCTTGGTTTATGTCCTTTTGTAATGTTTCTTTTGAGTTATCTTAATTGGGATGTTATTATGTTAGGATGTCCGAATCAGTGAAGCCTCAACTTCCAATCTCATCATATGATTATTAAGGTGTCACAGTAGGATATTCCTTTTACAGCTATGTGTAATTCAAGGCTGCATGAACAATTACAAACCCCCAGACCTAAAACTCGCAGCTTTTTGTTAGATTTGAGTCAAAACGTATAAGCAAAGCAGACTTTCAAATCATAAACTGATTAAAATTGATCTACAAATAGATAATCACCTTCTTTGTAGTGAATTATGATGCAGAAAATGAGAGTCTGTTGTTTATGAAAGAATGCTAAGCTGTGAAACAATGTATTGTGCTCCATTGTATAACATTGTACCATACTGTATTGCATTTCACTACATTATGTTATATTATGCTATGCTATGCTATGCTAAACTGCGTTATGTTTTGTTTTGCTACGTTACCTTACGCTACGTAACGTTACGTTCCGTTATGCTATGCTATGCTATGCTATGCTATGCTATGCTATGCTATGCTATGCTATGCTATGCTATGCTATGCTATGCTATGCTATGCTATGCTATGCTATGCTATGCTATGCTATGCTATGCTAATGCTATGCTATGCTATGCTATGCTATGCTATGCTATGCTATGCTATGCTATGCTATGCTATGCTATGCTATGCTATGCTATGCTATGCTATGCTATGCTATGCTATGCTATGCTATGCTATTGTGCGTTGGATGCCATTGTGCTTTGCTTTGCTATATTTTGCTTAGTTACGCTATATAATGTTATGCTATGTTTGTCATGCAATGTTATTCAATGTTTTGTTTTTTTATTTAATGTTTTGATATGTTATTAAGTATTATGTCATGTCATGTCATGTCATGTCATGTCATGTCATGTCATGTCATGTCATGTCATGTCATGCCATGTCATGTCATGTCATGTCATGTCATGTCATGTCATGTCATGTCATGTCATGTCATATCATGTTATGTTATTGTATATTTTGCGTAATAGCTTTTCGGCGAACGTGGCCATTTATTTTGTTTCTGTTTGCTCCATAGTCACTCCAAATCATATGGTTCATTCGCCCATTGAAGACTTCAATGGAAACAGACTAACATTTCAACTTGGCATGATGAATCGTAGCTACTTGGACCAGTCAATGATCAAAGGTGATTTCCCTGCAATGGACATGAGCCACAGTGGCTCTTTTTCCTTTGTCGAGTCTTTGTCGCATGAAGCCAATGGCGCTCTTTCACAGTATAATGCTGGCCAAACTCTTCTTACCACAGCGCAAATGGCTCCAGGTGCTGATGTCTGGTAGCTGTACAAATTTATGGACCTATCCCATCATGAACATGGGTTAAATTATGTAAATATATGTCATGAATGAAATCGCTGCTGTAGCTGTAATGGTATGCCAATAATACTATTTCCAGGTCTATCCCTTGTAAAATGAAACGTCAGCCTCTTTCAACTTTGGGATTTCAATTTCGGAACCAAATATTTTCTAATCCTGTGCTTATTGGTTACGTCGAATGGTGAAATACATTTTTGAGAGAGTACAGTCAACTTCCAGTAATTCGAGCTTTTAAGAGATTTGATTTATGTTGGAGTTATCTTAAGTTTAGAGCATCCAAATTTGGTAGAAAAAGAGATGATTTGGAAAAGTATATAATAATATTTTATTTGAATAAGGAAAAATTCGAACCAACATTTGACTAAATTTTCAACAATGCTTTAGTTTTTCGATTTTCTGAAAGCAATTGCGTACTCAGGATGATAAGTCTTGAAGTTGGACTTAGAATGACATACGCTAGGGGATGCTACTACCCTGAATTCTCCACTAAAGCCCAACCTTCAGTTAAGCCCCCTTTCGAATCCTTTTGAATTAGCCCCTATACAAAGATAATTGAATCTATGGAAATATAATTTAAGATATTCCTTTTTTCGAACAATATGCATTCATCCAGAAATCCATTTTTTCAAGTAAGCCCCTGGTGGCCTATTTAAGGATTTACGGTATATGCTCGATACGATTTTTTCTGCCTATCATATATTTAGTAACAATAAGGAAATTTACAACAGCAAATCAAATCTGTTAGCTCGACTTTATTGGCTAGCTGTATTAGACAGGCGTCTTATGTCTTCTACTCTCATCTTCCTCTTAACATGTCCCAGGCAGGAATTGAGGGTCCCGATAGAAATGTATTGGCGGTAATCAAGATAGATTTAAAATGTTATCGAATAACAAAAATCTTGATAACTGAAATTAAGCTAATAGCCAAATTTTAACAATATTTTGTTATTTTACTCGAAATTTAAGCTGCATGCTGCTGCTTATGCTTAATTTATTTTGTTAGAAAACATGAAGGTGCTTGTTCTTTTATCTGAAATTTATATCTTTAAGGATTATATAATACTTTAAGGACAACACCTCCTTGTAGCTGTTTGTAAATAAAGGGATTGCCGAAAATGCATTACATTATATACTTATATTGCTTTAATTTGAAGACTGTAGAAATAGAAATTCTTAAAGTTATATCTGAAAGGATTTTTTTGCTTCTTGCTCTTTTCATGCATCGATTGAATTAAGTGGTGTGAAGTGAACATACATTTTCGCTGTGCATATTGCTACCGTAGTTTAGACGTCCCCAGTAGCATGAACTTTATTTGCCAAAGCCGTAAAAAATCAGAAGGTATTAGGTAACTTAGGTTAGATGAGCAGTTTTTCCAGTCTTGAAAGATATGCGGTAAGATATGCAGTTTTTTCAGTCATCCAGCATTCTTGAATTCTTTAAAAGAGACAAAAGTATCTGATTAGAAAAATACCAATATCGTACTTTTTTTATGCAAACGAGAAATGTTCTTATGTTCCTAGAGATTTCTCTACAAACTCGCCGCCATTTTCATTTCATAAGTGATGCTTTGCAAGTATCGCCAAGGGGAGCTTCCCTGTGAATTTATCATCGAAAAACCTCTTCTACGTACAAATAATATCATCTCGTTTTCTTCATTGTTCCATTACAAAATTATTGTCTTGCTTTTACTTGTGAAATTCATATCAAATATTTCACAAAAGAGAGTTTTTAGTACTATTATCTTTGAGGATCTTAAATCTTCTAAGACACCAAATAGGCATGTTTGATCTCAACAGTACGTAACATCATAAAGCCTTCTCCTGACTCCTGCCTATATACATTGGAGTCTGATGTGAGTGTCAATCATATTCAGTACTCGTCAGAGCCTTTATCACAAACGTCAGCAGTAGGCTTCACAGATCTTACTTATTTTTCAAGCCAAAGAGAAAAGACATTTAAATAGCAAATTTACTGAGAGAAGCATGCAACCCGGCTTTTCACATATTAGCTCTTTCTAAAATATAATTTCTGTCTCTACGAAAGAAAAAATCTCAATGGAGTGACAACAAATTCATTGAAAAGCAGGATTAACTAACTGACTAATACACTTGCAAGTGACACCAAAACACCAAATACACCCTTCTAAGAAGAAGCTATTTAAAAATGAAAACGAAGCTGGATGCGAATAAGAGGCCAGTTTAATAAAGTGGCGGGGAAACAGCATTTTCACTTCAAGACCTTCTCATTAAACTAAAATGCCTGAAAACCTGCCATTTGAAACATTTTAGAAAAGGTGTCATGGAATCAATATCAAACAGACCAGAAGGTATAGTAATAAAGCACTTTATATTTCATATGCTTTCTGAAAGTATGGACGGGAAGAGCACTGGGCTCGAAAACCTTTTTTGTTTTCTCATTGTCGTCCTGTGCAACTTACTACAAATTGTATTAGATAGAGCATATTGTATCCATTGATCTTTAACTTTGTATCTTTTATTAATATATCTTTGCTTAACTTGTATTCGATAAATGGTAAATTTGTTACTGAATTACATTATTGATTTGATTTGAATTGGAATTTTGAATATATGCATGTATTGCAAGGACAGGACAGCTGGTGTTCCTGTGAATTTCTCTCAGTAATTTGAGGATTGAGTTATATTGAGGGTTATTCAATAGGTATGTTAATTTTTTATAATGCAATAATGTGCAAGTTGTATATAACTATAAGGCCCTTATTGAAATGACCCTAAAATCTAAACAGCCCAAGAGACCTTCAAAGCGCAGAAATGCAAATTAACATATGATTATTCTACAAAATTGTTATGATAATAAAGCTCAAGAGTCAATGTCAAAGAACCTTTTTATGGGAAAATCAAACTTTCTTCTAGATTGTGTAGATGAAAAGTGTGTATGTTGACAAGGCATCCAGGGTGCATTCCATGTCAACTGTACGCTGAAGGTCCACCGGGGCATTTGTTTAGGTACGCCAAAAATATAAAAGCAGTTAATAAAATTGTAAACATTATTGCGCCAGACAAAAAAACTGATTATTAGAGAAAAATGTGGTGTATGAGTCTTTATTTTACATTAACTACGTACATGGCTTCATGTTTAGCATGTCAACTAACTAAAATTTTAAGTAGGTCAAAAAATGTTTTATTGGTTTGCATGCCAAATGCTGAAAAAAACCTGGGTGTACGCCGAAGATCTTCGGGCCTAAGTACATAGAATGCACCCTGGCAAGGCATGAGGTAGAAATTGTTGCAGGGTTTTCCTCCAATTTTATGTGGCTTAAAAGATTTCCCACAATAATGTTTTGGAATAGGCGATAGAAGAGAATAGGCTGCCTTAAACAAGAATCCTGAAAAATTTATGTCCTTACTCGAACTTTCAAAAAGATTATTTTTTCCACTTGCACAGCAGGCCTTTTCTGAAAAATTTTTTTGCAAAGGTAACAAAGTGCCCAGCATTATTTATTAAACAAAGTTCTTCAGGACCTGAGGGGGTATTAGGGTGTTATCTACCCACAACTTCCTAACCTTTGATTTTCTAAATGTGCGATTTGATGTAATGATTTATAATGTCAACAATGAGGAAATGATGTTATATTTTAATTGACAACTTGACCCTTTATTCAGGAATACTGTAACTTTTAGGGACGGACAAAAACAATGTGTTAGGGATGGACAAATTCCTCTTCAATGTAAAAATCACATCATATTCCAACTATATTGAAAAATTCTCTTTCTTGTCCTCTCTGATTGCATTATCTATATTTTCCGTTTTTTGGAGCTTCAAGACAAAGTCTCCTACTCCACGAGCCACTTTTCTAAGTTATCAACATTTATGGAACAATGGACTTTGAAGAGAATTTGTCAAGGATTACGGAATTCTGGCAAAATCTGGATGGAATTACGGAATTCTACAAAATGATGCATGGGATACAGAATCTTTATAAAGTTTTAAGGATTTGTAGAATTCTTCACCTGTTGTCTTGTAAGAACGTCTTTAAATGAAGGTCCTATCAGCAATTTTGAGATGTGGAATTGATAGCCCCCGCTTCTATGTTTATCTAAAAGGCCTTGAGGGAAATTCTTGACGAAGCTGCAAAAAAAAGAAATTTAGTAACAGGGACAACAACAGTAGTGTCATTTGTTGCTAATTTTTCCCTACATTTCGCTTGTGGCGATGCTTGTTTTTGTGAGGCGGTCAATAGCCTGCTTCAGTTATTTGATGAGGGCAAGGGCGATCGCCTGCATGAAATGAGAAGGCCTGTTGGAGCAGGGCAGATGCAATAATAAATAGGAGCTACACTTGCCTGCAGTAACATTACAATCCAGTATGCCAAGCATGGTCATTGCGCATTAAAGATGCAAAGATGGCAAAACTTCAGGCACACCTAAAATCTATTAAATTGTATACTGGTAGAGATGATATTGCTGATGCACCTTGTTTTTTCAGAAGATTTTTGTGCACCTGCACCTGAGATGTGGGGCTGTTGGTACATCCAAGATCTTGTCAAAATCAGCCATTCCCTGCAAACTGGTTACATTCTGCTCACGTTTTTTAACTTCTGCAAAGGAATGACAGTAATGAACTGGTCCAGGGAATTTTAGATGAATAAATAGATTTTTCACTCTGTGCATGTATGTCAGATGAATCTAGAGCAGGCAGAATCTGGAAAGGTAGAAATCATATCAGCCAGGGTGGAAAACTGTGTGACTTCAACTACACATGTCTCCCAGCAGTTTGAGCTTCTAGGAGTAGGATCCAAATATACAGCAAATTGAAGTCAAGAATTTATCGCTTTGCATTTAAATGACCCACGTTCATGAGGGTGTGACTGAGGTTTATTTCAGATACAAGTAATTGAATGCAAGTTTTCTAACCTGATACATCATCATTCATCCTTCCACTAAAGTAGTGCTGTAGATTCCTTTAGGTTTGGTCTTAAATCGATCCCTCGAAATGTTTCAACAGAAAATTATCTCCAGCAAGTTATGTTATGTCAAACAGGAACCTAGACTACTTATAAGATTGACTGAAATCAAAAAATATTTTTTTGCAATGAAAAATAATGTATTTTTTAGAAGAAGAAAATAAAAGGAGATTTGAAGTTGAGTTGGAATTCATTCAGTGCCTGTCAAATCCACATTATTTGAATTGTGAGTAGATATTTTATTTTTCAATCTTTATTTATTTTGAGAAAGGTCATTTTCTTACATAAAGTATAACCTTAACACATCCTGAACTCATATTTCTGATCCAATTCTAGTTATTTCATATCATAGATTTAAATTAATATAGATAACATGATGAACATAGAAGGTGAGGATTTTTGTTATTAATTAAGGATCTTTTATGATAATTTGAATTTTTTTAACTCATTTTGTAACATTAATTTTTTATTTCAGTTCTGGCACAAAATGGTTACTTTAAGGACCCAGCATTTGTAAATTACCTAAAGTACCTACAGTATTGGAAGGAGCCCCAATATGCTGTTTTTCTCAAGTAAGGATATTTCACTAAATTAGTTGTTCATTTGATGCCCCATAGTTTTAAGTTTTATAGAGAAAGCAGAATTTTTTCAAAATATATGTTTGAATTATTTATTTTCCAAAAATTTGAAAAAGTTAGTTTGGTAGTTTACCTATCAGTCATCTGCTCAGATATGAGCTGTGTGGTTGTTATATATAACATTGCTTAATGACTTCAGACAGCAGAGAAGAAGGTAAACTACAAAACCCTTAAAGATATAAAATAATATAAAGGCAAAGAGAGTTTGAAAACATTGACTTACATCGATTGTCAAAATATTTTGTTATGACTTATAAAGGTTGAAGCATATTTTTTTATCAATTATCTGACTTTGGCTGTATTTTAACTTTGTTATTGAGGTAAAGCACTTAGTAACTGTCAGCAGTCTGCTAGATACACTCTTCTCTAAGGAGTTGCTTTAATGGTTGAGCAAACTTTACAAACAAAACAAAATAAAACAACTATGTATAAATTTGAACAATTTTTTTGCGGTACAGAATTTGAAAATGGCTTTGAAAAAAGCAAACATTTTACAACATACTTAAAGCTTTTTCGTCTGACACTCCTCAGAGCATAAAACGTCAGAATAGGTTCCGAAAAAACACGTTTGAAAAATATATACCCAGTTGTGGATCGAAATAGGCCAATCAGAAAGACGCAAGCACAAGACCGGTATAGTACATTGCATCAAGGATTCTTTTACGTTCGCTGAGTTCATGCAAAACTTGAACATCGAAAACGAAACATCTTTCATGTGTTCTTTTGACATTAGTAGTCTTTTCACAAATGTTCCTTTGAGTGAGACCATCAAAATATGTGCCGACGCTTTGTACCGGAGCGAGCTTAATAGCCCACCATTCCCAGAGGAAGTATTCATTGAACTGATGGAAACTGCAACACGTTCAGTTGAATTCAGTTTTAACAATGAAATGTACCAACAAAAGGATGGTGTCGCTATGGGTAGCCCTCTGGGACCTGCCTTGGCCAATATCTTTGTTGGCTTTCATGAAGAGCGTTTGTTTGACTACGACCAAAAGCCAGGTGTCTATTTTCGGTATGTGGATGACACATATACCATTTTCAAAACAGAGGCTGAGTGTGATATTTTTCTAAAACACCTAAATAGCCTACACCCAGCCCTCCAGTTTACGTTTGAAAAGGAAGAAAATGATTCCTTACCATTTTTAGATGTTTTGGTCGAAAAGTCTAACACTGGATTTCTTACCAGTGTATATCGCAAGCCTACTTTTACCGGTCAGTACATACGCTGGAATTCATTTTGCCCAAAACAACGCAAAGTCAACCTTGTCAAAACATTAGTACATAGGGCACTTATGATCTGCTCGAAATCTAAACTGCACGCTGAACTGGAAAAACTCAAAACGATCTTCTTGGACAACGGCTATCCTGAAGACGTCATTTTATCTTATACTAAGGAGAAGATCGCAAGTTTTTCGGCTGTTCAAAAGTTTGGTCCGCAAAAGTGCCCAGTTTATTTGAAACTACCATGGATTGGTAACACTTCCTTGCGATTCGAGAGTCAGATTAGGCAAGCCATAACCAATTGTTTCTTTGCTGTCAATCCTCGGATTGTTTACAGCACTAGGAGAGCCCTTCCATCCATTCAAAAGGATTGCGTCCCTACCAAACAAAAAAGTTCCGTCATTTATGAATTTACGTGCCAGTGTGATTCTGGCTACGTAGGGCGCACAACCCAAAGATTGGGGGATAGGATAAAACAGCATGTTCCTTCCAACATACGAAACAAAACTGCCCCTCAAAGAGAACAGCCTCCTCGATCTTGTAGGTCTAGAAACACTGTTAAAACAAGTGATTCTGCCATTGGTCAACATCTTTTAGACAACCCAGATTGTGCAAAACTCTATAATGACGACATGTTTCGGATAATTGGCAGAGCCCGGTCGTCCTTCCATCTAGCAGTTTTGGAGTCAATCTACATAAAAACGAAAAAGCCGCCATTGTGTAGACAAAAGGAGTTAGTTTTCTCTCTTGGACTCCATTGGTAATTTTTCTTTAGGCTCGCGGCACTGATTGGTCAACTATACCGGTCTTGTGCTTGCGTTTTTCTGATTGGCCTGTTTCGATCCACAACTGGGTATATATTTTTCAAACGTGTTTTTTCGGAACCTATTCTGACGTTTTATGCTCTGAGGAGTGTCAGACGAAAAAGCTTTAAGTATGTTGTAAAATGTTTGCTTTTTTCAAAGCCATTTTCAAATTCTGTACCGCAAAAAAATTGTTCACATTTTTCAAGCAGAGGTACACTAAACAGGAGATTGAGGATCTCAACCAACTGGTTAAGTTAAGAGGTAAGCTGAGGACGGCCAGGTTCTCTTTATCATTTCTCAATTTATGTTTGACTAACCGAGTTGTGCCAAAATTTATCACCGCTCGTATTTCCAAGTCTGGTGTTAGACATAGTCCAACCATTGAGCGCGCTTTTCTCCATGATGAGATTCAGAAAAGAAAAACCAATGTTCTGAACTTAAAATGCCTGTATACACGCCAATGGTCTAAAACGCGTCCATTTCTTTCATTCCTTGACAATTTTCGACTTTGCCGCTACATTTCTGAAATTGACCAGCGGACACTAAAACATACCACGGAAAAACACAATAGGAATATTGGCTTGCTAGTAAGGAAACGTTTCGGTGGCATGTTGAGCGACACCAAAAAACATATTTTCAATTTCTCGGATTATTCTCTCTCTGATACTGAAACATTTGTCTTAGGTAATGGACTTGAATTTTGTATCCCACCCCTAACAATCAACAGAGAGGAACTCTTTGCTGAATTCGAAATTTTACACGCTCAACTTGCTAAGCACGAGATTTCTAACCCTTTGGAGTTTAACAAATTACGAGCACGACTAAGCGATTTGGCGTACGCTTACAGCGGCTCTCCCATCGACCACTCAGATTTTCTTTTGCATAGAGAACATTTCCAAGCACTAAAATCTCTACGGGCTAACAATGACATCTTTATTACAAAACCTGATAAAGGGTCTGGAGTGGTAATTTTAAACAAAAAGGACTACATCAATAAAATGGAGGTTATTCTCCACGACAAAGAAAAATTTGCTAAATTGGGTGATGTCGAAACACATGACAAAACGGCCAAACTAGAGCGGAAACTCCACAAACGTTTGTTGGAACTGGTCAACTCAAAAATGTTGGCTACAGAAATTTATGATAGGATAAGACCCACGGGCTCTCAACGACCACAAATGTATGGCCTCCCTAAAATACACAAGCCGAACGTCCCACTTAGACCTATCTTGTCTATGATTGGCTCAGCACAACACGAACTGGCTAAGTGGCTTTCTGAAGTTTTGGACCCTGTTCTTCAAAAATATTCAAAACATTGCATCAAGGATTCTTTTACGTTCGCTGAGTTCATGCAAAACTTGAACATCGAAAACGAAACATCTTTCATGTGTTCTTTTGACATTAGTAGTCTTTTCACAAATGTTCCTTTGAGTGAGACCATCAAAATATGTGCCGACGCTTTGTACCGGAGCGAGCTTAATAGCCCACCATTCCCAGAGGAAGTATTCATTGAACTGATGGAAACTGCAACACGTTCAGTTGAATTCAGTTTTAACAATGAAATGTACCAACAAAAGGATGGTGTCGCTATGGGTAGCCCTCTGGGACCTGCCTTGGCCAATATCTTTGTTGGCTTTCATGAAGAGCGTTTGTTCGACTACGACCAAAAGCCAGGTGTCTATTTTCGGTATGTGGATGACACATATACCATTTTCAAAACAGAGGCTGAGTGTGATATTTTTCTAAAACACCTAAATAGCCTACACCCAGCCCTCCAGTTTACGTTTGAAAAGGAAGAAAATGATTCCTTACCATTTTTAGATGTTTTGGTCGAAAAGTCTAACACTGGATTTCTTACCAGTGTATATCGCAAGCCTACTTTTACCGGTCAGTACATACGCTGGAATTCATTTTGCCCAAAACAACGCAAAGTCAACCTTGTCAAAACATTAGTACATAGGGCACTTATGATCTGCTCGAAATCTAAACTGCACGCTGAACTGGAAAAACTCAAAACGATCTTCTTGGACAACGGCTATCCTGAAGACGTCATTTTATCTTATACTAAGGAGAAGATCGCAAGTTTTTCGGCTGTTCAAAAGTTTGGTCCGCAAAAGTGCCCAGTTTATTTGAAACTACCATGGATTGGTAACACTTCCTTGCGATTCGAGAATCAGATTAGGCAAGCCATAACCAATTGTTTCTTTGCTGTCAATCCTCGGATTGTTTACAGCACTAGGAGAGCCCTTCCATCCATTCAAAAGGATTGCGTCCCTACCAAACAAAAAAGTTCCGTCATTTATGAATTTACGTGCCAGTGTGATTCTGGCTACGTAGGGCGCACAACCCAAAGATTGGGGGATAGGATAAAACAGCATGTTCCTTCCAACATACGAAACAAAACTGCCCCTCAAAGAGAACAGCCTCCTCGATCTTGTAGGTCTAGAAACACTGTTAAAACAAGTGATTCTGCCATTGGTCAACATCTTTTAGACAACCCACATTGTGCAAAACTCTATAATGACGACATGTTTCGAATAATTGGCAGAGCCCGGTCGTCCTTCCATCTAGCAGTTTTGGAGTCAATCTACATAAAAACGAAAAAGCCGCCATTGTGTAGACAAAAGGAGTTCGTTTTCTCTCTTGGACTCCATTGGTAATTTTTCTTTAGGCTCGCAGCACTGATTGGTTAACTATACCGGTCTTGTGCTTGCGTTTTTCTGATTGGCCTATTTCGATCCACAACTGGGTATATATTTTCCATCGTGTTTTTTCGGAACCTATTC